GGGGGGGGGGCGGGAGCCGTTACCATCCGGTGCCGAGAAAAGGATGGAAAAGTCCTGGAGGCCCAGTCCACATCTGTGTGCGTCCTGAATCCATGGTCCCACTGGCTCCCAGAGGACACGGGTCACGACAAAGAATCTCTCCCTCCTTCGTACGTATACAATCGCAGGTGTCACCACAGAGGTCATACGTGCATATGAAGACGTCAGCAGGCCCCACCTTATATACACATATATACCCACATGTATAGACAGACATTTATGAACACACACCCCCCCCATTTGTTTCATATACACGTGCATAAGATAGAGTAAATACAGGTAGTTTTAAAAAAAACCTTTTTGTGTGAATCGGCTACCGTTGTTTGCAAAACTGAAAAATAAAAGATGTTCATCATGTATGAAAAGTAGCTGATTTTTATTCCGTGAGCATGTAGCAGTGCGAGGAAAGTTAGTACTTGTATTCAGGTGATCTTCTTGTTGATAAACTGTAAACCATCGAAGCTCACACCAAATTTTTCTATCAGATGAAACTAGTGACAGCCTGTGGCTTTTGATTAGCGCTCGCCACGAACTAGGGTAAGGTAAGTGTCTTAGCATATTTTAATGCAGTGGCTTACTAAAGGTTTTAACCACACACGCGCGCACACGCAGATGAACACACACGCTTTCTTATGCAATCTGTTTGCACCTGTACTTTTCAGTTTGCCTTCTGTAGGAAGTAGAAGTCATATGCTGTCTTTGTTATAGTGAAATTATGCAGATAGAGTCCCATATATTGTATTTGTTTCATTAGTAAATCTTTTTGGAGCACATAGAATGCAGAGATTTTTTTTTCCCATTAAAATAAATGGGTATTGGTGGTTAAAACTGCTGGACGGTAGCTCTTCTCTGATTTCTGTCGTGTCTAATGTTGCTGGTGCTGGGTCTTAGTCCAAGTTCCCATTTTCACCTGCCCATGGCGGAGGTGGGTGGGGGGAGGTCCCCGTATATCTCTAGCCAGTGAGTGAATCCGTAAAGCCCGCAACACCAGCTCTCAGTGGGAGCGATGCACTGTCCTTGTCACTGTAATGACACAATCTGAGCATGTCACAGTCAGCTGTGAAGAGGATTGCATCATCAGAGATGAGAGGGACCATCCTCTCTCGAGCAACTGCTTTGGGCTGATACAACCCTATGCCTACAGTCCCAAACTGTGGGGATTTTTCTGGTGGCCAAGTCTGGCTTGATCAGGAGATGCCGCACCTCGAATGTGGCACGATGGCTCTCAGTGAGCACACAGCCGACTCAGAAGCAGGGGCATCTAAGCCAGTTGGCCCACACTGTACAAGCTCCCTATTACAGTGTTATAGGGGACCACCGTGGCCTCTCTGGTGCGCCCTGCTCCCCTCATCTTGCAAGGTGGAGAAAGAACAAACGAAGGGGCATTATCGGAGGGCCCGGTGGCTGGCAGCCAGGCCCACCTACTAACTAAAAGTCAGAGAGCTCACCCTCCACCATGAACCTGAGCTTTCTCTAGGGAGAAATGCAGGCGCTACGGGGCCCATTCACTGAAGGAAACAAATGCAAGACGCTCTCCTCTCAAGCCAGTAGGCTCTCCTGCTCTCTGCAGATCAAACCGGTCAGAACTCGGCATGGATTCAGAAGCATGAGAGTGAAGGCATGCTTCACTGAGGGCGTCCGCCTCAGCGTCAAGGGTGCTCTCTCTCCCTAGAGTCGCTAGCTGGACAGAGAGAGCCCAGTATGTTGGTCTAGTACCTTTCAAAAACAAAAAGAAATAGCATTTCTCAAAGCATGTAATTTTGTTGACTTGCTAAAATACATCACATTGTTTTCTGAAAGCAAAAGGATAATCAAAATGTTATTTCATTATTACCTATTTTATCTTAGTCCAATGTATTTTTCTTTAAAAGTCAAGTGAAAACTAGAAATTGCTCTTCCCCCTTACTGAGCTCAAGACTGAAGTTTTTATTTCCCTTATCAGTCACATCTATGCTTTTGTCTAGTTAAAATATTTCTCTCTTTAGTTGATTAAAAAATGTATTTTCAAAATTAATCAGTTTGGATAATTAAATTGATTATTTTGGATAATTAAATGAATGATTTTGGATAATTCCGAACAATAATATGCAAACATTTTCTAATTTCAGTAGAGGTTCCCTCCAACTGCCGACTCCCCTCAGATGAGTGTCATTTCAGACAGAGGCGCCTGTGGCCAGCACTGGCCGATCTGAGCACCACGGCAAAATAAGCCCAGCCGAATTCCATGGTAGGTAGCCAGTAAGACCTGGACCCTTAAAGGGCATTGTTAAAAATTTTGTTAAGTCATCCCAGATTTTCAAACTGTCGTTTTAAACAGTCCAATACATGGAATAACCATCTACCATCAAACTCACGGAGTAGATCTGATTGTGGTTTATCCAAAATCAATACACCAGGTCTTGATGTGACAGCCAATAAGTTACTGACAGGTCTGTGTCCGATGCCAGGGCTAGCACTGGGGTCCCTGTGCACAGCTATCCAGACGATCCTGCAGAAACGAGGCAATGATTCTCTGGGCTGGTATAGACATGCTACTAAAAGGTGATTAATAACAAGTTTGCATTTCTGTCGTTTACTGTGTACTGTACCCACGGTGTACAAAATCCTTCCTTTCTGTTAGCTCATTGAATCCTTGCAATAGCCCTGTAAGGCATGAACCATCATCCCCTCCAACTTACAGAAAGCACTGCTGGGCAGCAGGTGATGTGGCGGTTAAGGCTCTGGACTCCCACATGACTGACTGCAGTTCAAGTCCGAGACCAGGCAGCTTGCTTTCTCACTTTCCCCCTCTCTCTCCCTCTCTCCTCTCTGGTAAGTGCACATGCCCTATAGCAAACTAAAATAATAACAATAAATAAATAAAATTAGGGGCCAGCAGATGGTGTAGCTGGGCTCCCACACGGCCAACCGTGGTGAGAGCCCTGGACCCTGTGGCCTGAAAACCACACCAGAGCATGTGCACGGGTCCCCAAGATTCCAGGAGGAGATGGAGGAGAAGGGACTGTGGCGTGACCGTCACCTCAGGTGATGATTTCTCACTTGCTCTGTGTCTCTGTCTCTCCCTCCGGCGAGCATGCATGCCCTAAGGCAAAACCCTCTTAATAAATTAACTTATTTTTAAAGAAAGCAAAACAAAGAAAGCAGGGGCTCAGATAAATCGAACTGCTTGCCCTACGTAAGTGACCTCCATACCCAAAGCTCAGGTCATCTGGTTCCAGGACTCATGTGCATTCCATCGTGGTTCCACTCCCAACGAAACCTAACAAAATGCCTGTGTCAGACCAGAAAACTCAAGTCTGGAGCTTCAATTAGCTTGACTTGCCATCCACACCAACTTACTGCCACTTAGCAATGTCTTCCACCATGAGGTACCTTCCGCCACTGAGTCCCTTTCACAAACAGTCCCTTCTCCCAACCAAGTCCTGCTGCATTGTTTTCATTGTGACAGCTTTCTGTTAAAACTGTCAACACTATTTTAAATTAATATTGGAATCTTAGAAGTTTTTCCCATTCAGGGGCCGGCAGCTGGCATGGTGGTTAAGGACACTGGATTCTCATGTGGCCGACCGTGTTTCGAGTACCAGACCTGATGGCTTTTCTCTCACTCTCTCTCACTCTCACTCTGTCCCTCTCTAGTCAAATTTTAAAAATAAATGAAGTGAAATAAAATAATTTTTTTTAAAAAAGTTTTTCCCATACAAAGTACCATTATTTTCTAAAGTTTTTTCCCTCCTTCATTTCTATGACTTGTTAAGTAGTCACCTAAGAGGGCAGATCAGCGGGCCATCTCAGTTTTCCGAAAGTTCACGTCCTCCCACGGACAAGCTCTTGGAGATCCCACACCACTCTCTCCACCAGACAAGCTGAGCAGAGAAAGCTGAGGGAGAGAGTGGTGTGGGATCTCCAAGAGCTTGTCCGTGCTTGACCATAAACATGATTCAAACGGGCAAATTCTAAGTCTCCAAGCAGTTTCTGATTTTGTAATGTGGCCCATTAATCTAGTCAAATGTCATCAACTTAAGGATGAACTAACAGAGACATCACACCAAAAAGAAAAGCGAGCCCTAAAAAGCACCAACTACCTTTCCTGTGTGACTAGTAATAAGAAAAATAACTATGGAATGATCTGGCTATGGTTTTCACAAAGATGGAGCACTCCCTCGTCTTCTTTACTTTTTTACATTTAATCCCTGTGCATCCTTACAATATACATTATGATTTTTCCCAGCATGAATATACTACATATTAGCCTGGTCCAAGGCATTACTATACACATTATTGACAGATATCTTTTCATCTTTGTGGCTGTTATTCTTTCTTCTTTCTGTGACTGATGGTGGAGGTTTCATACTTCTCACCGTCCAGTGAGAAAATGCTTTCATAATTGTTCTTCTAAAGCAATTAATCATTCTTGCACCATAGCAAGTGCGTTACCCTTGGTTGACTTTAGCTCAAGCAGTTACTTCCTCAGTCCGGAGTTCCCACCCGCAAACATGTTACCTTTACTGTATTTCCTGTTGCTAATGGAGGAATCTGATACTGAAAAAACTCTATAGTTGTGACAACATTCATGTAAAAGCCTATACGTGATGTGCAGAGACACGGAAAATGTGGGGAAGGATGTGTGCTGAGGATTTCAGATAAGAACTTGAACTCTATAAATTAAGAACAATTCTTGGCGTGGGGGCAGCAGATGGTATAGCAGTTAAGCCATTGGATTCCCACATGGCTGACCACAGTTTGAGTCCTGGACCTGGTAGCTTGAAACTCACACTAGGCGTGTGTGCATGTGTGCCCAAGATCCCAGGAGGACAGTGGAGGAGAAGGGATTGCAGCATGGCCATCCCCCTGGGGGATGATTTCTCACTTTTGCTCTCACTGTCTCTGTCTCTCTCGCTCCAAGGAGTGCACATACCTTAAGGCAAAAAACTCTTAAAAGAAAAAAAGAATAACCCCTGGGCCAGCTGGTGGTATGGCGGTCAAGGTGGCTGGATCCGACATGGCTACTGGCACAGTGAGTCCCAAGCTTGGAGGAGAAGGGATTGCACTGTGGCCATTGCCCAGGGATGATTTCTCTCTCTCTCTCTCACTCTCTCTCCAGTGACCACACAGACCCTACAGCAAAAAATTAAAAAAAAAAATTTTTTTAAAGCCACCTGTGATTTAAGCTGAAATAATCTAGATATTCGTCAAATTAAGTCAGCAGGTTTACATTTAATCCCTGTGCATCCTTACAATATACATTATGATTTTTCCCAGCATGAATATACTACATATTAGCCTGGTCCAAGGCATTACTATACACATTATTGACAGATATCTTTTCATCTTTGTGGCTGTTATTCTTTCTTCTTTCTGTGACTGATGGTGGAGGTTTCATACTTCTCACCGTCCAGTGAGAAAATGCTTTCATAATTGTTCTTCTAAAGCAATTAATCATTCTTGCACCATAGCAAGTGCGTTACCCTTGGTTGACTTTAGCTCAAGCAGTTACTTCCTCAGTCCGGAGTTCCCACCCGCAAACATGTTACCTTTACTGTATTTCCTGTTGCTAATGGAGGAATCTGATACTGAAAAAACTCTATAGTTGTGACAACATTCATGTAAAAGCCTATACGTGATGTGCAGAGACACGGAAAATGTGGGGAAGGATGTGTGCTGAGGATTTCAGATAAGAACTTGAACTCTATAAATTAAGAACAATTCTTGGCGTGGGGGCAGCAGATGGTATAGCAGTTAAGCCATTGGATTCCCACATGGCTGACCACAGTTTGAGTCCTGGACCTGGTAGCTTGAAACTCACACTAGGCGTGTGTGCATGTGTGCCCAAGATCCCAGGAGGACAGTGGAGGAGAAGGGATTGCAGCATGGCCATCCCCCTGGGGGATGATTTCTCACTTTTGCTCTCACTGTCTCTGTCTCTCTCGCTCCAAGGAGTGCACATACCTTAAGGCAAAAAACTCTTAAAAGAAAAAAAGAATAACCCCTGGGCCAGCTGGTGGTATGGCGGTCAAGGTGGCTGGATCCGACATGGCTACTGGCACAGTGAGTCCCAAGCTTGGAGGAGAAGGGATTGCACTGTGGCCATTGCCCAGGGGTGATTTCTCTCTCTCTCTCTCTCTCTCTCTCTCTCTCTCTCTCTCACTCTCTCTCCAGTGACCACACAGACCCTACAGCAAAAAATTAAAAAAAAAAATTTTTTTAAAGCCACCTGTGATTTAAGCTGAAATAATCTAGATATTCGTCAAATTAAGACAGCAGGAAAACCTCTTCCTGTCAGCTACATCGTTTTCATCACATCTGTGGCTGGAGGGCTGCTGAGCTTGATAAGCCTTTGAACCGTTTTGTTTGCCTTTCCAAGTGCTAGTTGTCAGTGGGGATGTGGTGGGATGAAGCCGGGAGAGAGACTGTGCTGACTTCACTCCAAGCACACAGCCCTGGAGAACGTGGCTTATAGAAGCACTGTGAGCATATGCTGGAAACTGCCATTTTCTGCTCCTTATTCAAAAGTATTTCCATTGGAGACTGATATTCTGTAACACACAAGCATTCAGATTATTAAAGAACTGAAAACATTTCCATATTGTCATCCACATATTAACACTGTACTCATGACAAAAATTATTTATCTCCCCTCTGAGATTACAATTTTCAGAAACTTTAAACACATTTTTCTCCATAAACACTCAAGAGGAGTCCAAGTTTATCATTGTAAAGTATTTAACTCTATTGCAGACGTCACTCCTTTGGGTCCTGGTTGCTGAATTGCTTACCGTTTCTGAGCTGAGTTGGCATTTGCATTATTGTGTAGTGGCAGAGAAATTTGCGACGTGTTTGTGAAATAGTCAAAGAGTGTGTAGGGTCTTTTATTATTATTTATACATCATTTAGATTATGAAGAGATTTTACTCAACATGGTATATTCCACACACTAGGCAAGTTGAGAATACTATACACGACATCCCCAACAGGCAACAAGCCCTATCTGATCCCCACAGACTGCATGTTTGGTCATACAGCACCTTTAGCATGTAAGCTCCGTCACTAAACACAGTGACAGAGCAAAGGGATAGTTTTTCAAACGGTGCTCAGGTTAGCCTATGATATTTAAAACCAAGTATGTCATGCTTAATAATTAGGTCTTTTCTCCTTCTTTACAATTCTGGGTCATCAGAAAAGTCATGATGTATTTTTCTATGTTTTTCTATGCAAAAAATGCAATATGACTTTTCCGACGACCCAGTAGATCCTGATTTGGAAAAATAGATGATAAATAGCCAGTCTGTACATAGACAGACGGAGAAATGAGAGCCAGACGGCAGGATTACTTTAGAGAGATTCTTTTTTTTTTTTTTTTTGCGCGTGCGCTCGCCAGACAGACAGAGAGAGACATAGAGACGGAAAGCGAGAAACATCCCCCAGGGGGGATGGTCACGCCGCAATCCCTTCTCCTCCATTCTCCTCTCGGGATCTTGGGCACGTACGCACACACGCCCGGCGTGAGTTTTAAGCCACCGGGTCCGGGACGCGAACCGCGGTCGACTACGTGGGAGTCCAGCGACATAGCCATTACGCTAACTGCTGGTTCCCTCTTTAGATAGATTCTTAACCAAAAAGAGAATTAATATTGAACAAACGCCTCCTATGGGCCAGATACTTAACATATTTACATATGCATGTATATATGCAAACATGCAGGGAGTTTCAAAGAGTTCACAGAAAAATATATATTAGGAAAAAACCATGCATGGATTTCAAATTTTTTTGTGCTAAAATGAACTTGAACTCCATTTTTCTATAAACCTTTTGAAGTCCCCTTTTATTACATCCTACATTAGCTATGTGGTTTATATGTAATATATACTTATATATGTGCAGTTTATATGACTCATGGGATGCTAAAGTAGACATAATCCCCATTCCATACATGAGGAAACTGAGGCTCGCAAGGCTGAAAACTACCTTGCAGCAGGTCTCGCCCCCTCCTAAGTGGCCAGTGTGGCTCCTGTCTGTCCTCGTCCTGCTGCCCCCTGGAGCAGCACACCCAGTCATCATGGGGACACGCTGAGCCAAGCTGGTATCAGCACACTCCGTGCATGAAGTGACAGTGACCAGACAAGTTGACAATGGTGGAGAAAGTGGAGCAAAGAGACCCAGACACACAAATCAGGGCCTACACAAACTCTCTCCCTCCTCCTGGGCAGGCTGTCTCCAGGCCATCCTAGTCTGGGTAAATAAACGGGAAACTGAACCTCTGGCAGCCTGTCACGAAGACGTTAATTTGGAAAATTGCCTCAAATGAATATAAGAAGCATAAACCAACACTTCAATCCAAAGGCAAAACAATTCGAGTTGTGTCAGGACACCACCGGTCACACCATTCTTCCCCAGAAAGCAATTTTCTGTTCTTTTGTAAACACAACCTCAGAGAGACCTCCTCCTGTTTTTCTGTATAAGTGGAAGTACCGGGGATTCTTGCCAGAGCACACCGCAGAGGGTTGGGCAAGGCTTGATTTTTGCATGAGGATTCAAGCCAAGAGCATAGGAACCCGGATGACGGTGTTTCTAAATTAAAGTGGCTGGAATCAGGCTATTCTCTCTACAACCAAACACCAGCTGGGTCCCAAATGCCCTGCCCGGTCCCTCCTGCAGCCAGCAGGGCAGATCCTCCTTCTGAGGTACACCAGGGCTCTACGTGATTGTCTGATATGAAACAGGTGTCAGCACCTCAGGCGCTCCAGCTAGCCTTGCTGAGATCACCCCAAGGAGAAGTGATGCAATGTTACCGTGACTTGGCAACACTTCCTCATGCTCCCCCTTCTCAAATTAGTGATGATGTCTCATTTCAAAGTGAGCATGGCCCCTTCACCCTTCGGCTCCCTGCCTTCTATTAAGGCAGAACTGTCCAAAGTTTACTCCTGTAAGAACATCATGACTGAGCCACGCCCCCATGAGCTCTCACCACCCTCACCAACTCTGCATGCATACGGTCCGTTGCATGATAGTTTTAACTCTGTTATTTCACATTTCTCCTTTTGCTTAAACTTATGTTAAAAGAAAGTTGTACCTGACTTCAGTGAATGAAAATCCAGAATCACTTGGGATACCCTGAAGTAGCAATCAAAATAAACACAGTGAAAACAAAAAATGGTGATTTCACTTTAGCTAAATGTCATGTCTACCTACAGTCTGGGTATGAGACTCTTGCATTAAAAGGAGACATTAATACACGCTACAGTGGACTCTGAGACACAGTAACATCCACCAGGCCCTCTGCTCATGACCATCACTCAGAGAGAAATGAGGGCAGACCAGGTAAATGCCCCTGTGTGAGTCACGCTGAGGAGTGCCATGGTCCCACGCCATCTTGAATCGTTTGTATAGGAACACAACAAGCAAAACTGCATGACTACAGGAAGGAAGGACCCAGTAACCAAAGATGACATGTTCTTCTCTTTCTAGAACCTTGGCCGTGAAGTGGTAGCTCAGAAGTGCCTGGGCTCAGTGGAGCGTCTTAGTGTTTGGGGTGATTCTGGTTTTGGGGGGTTATTGCTTGTTGTTTGTTTTGGTTTGGTTTTGGGTTTTTTTGTTTTTGGTTTTTGGTTTTGGGTTTTTTTTGCCACTTCAACATGTTGAGAGGAAGAGCTTATTGGAAAAGAGGAGGTGAGTTGGGGAAGCAAGTGTCTAGAGCTGATGGGAGAGAGAGGGGCTCTGCTTTGGACAAATGTACAGCTCTCCCCATGAGGCAGGGCCCTTCCTCCGGAGAAAAGAACTGCAGTGACCCGGGTATTCGTGTCATTACTGGTGAGGGTGTGGAGGGTACAGAATTGAATGATTTAGGCCAAAAGTCTCTTATCCACACAATAGAATATAAGGTCATCCTCTGAGAGTGAAGGGAGGTATCACCCCCTGAACCCGCCACAGCACAGCCCCCAGGCGTGGGAGCCACAGCAGCAACATGGGAGAAAGCAAGGGCATGCAGCTGCAACGAGAGGGGGGAAATGAAATTCCTGAGTCCAGTTTGTGTTGCTATGACAGACTACCACAGACTGGGCCATTCATTAAAAAGAGAAATTTGGGGGCCAACAGATGACATGGTGCTTAAGACTCTGGACTCCCACATGGCCACCTGTTAGAGTCCTGGATTCAGTGGCCTGAAACTCACACCAAGTGTGTGTGCATGCATGCCCAAACTCGCAAGAGGAGAATGGAGAAGGCACTGCAGTGTGGCTACCCCCCGGAAGGTGACTTCTCACTTTCCCTCTCTCTACTTCGCTCTCTGGTGAGTCCACATGCCCTAGTGGCAAAAGTCCTGGGGGGGGGGGGGGCGCTCGTCACACGTGGGGGGGGGGGGGGGGGGCTATTTCTCACATTTCTGGAAGCCAGGAAGTCCAATGTGAAGATACCACCATCTGGTGAGGGCCTTCACACTGTGTCATCCCATGGCAAAGGGCGAGAGAGACAGCTCGAGAGAGTTCAAGAGCAGGTCGGCAAACAAGAGCCGAACTCGCCCCTGTGCCCACCCGTGCTCACGATAACTAGCCCATTCCTGAGCGAAGGGCGTTAACCCACTCATAAGGGCAGAACCCTCATGACCTAATCACCTTTCAATGGTCCCACTTCTTTATGGCGCCGCCTGTTAGTACCATCACAATGGCAGTTTCATTTTAACATGAGTTTTGGAGGGGACATTCAAACCATAGCAGCCCTGGTACAATCGTTCCTTCTTTGCTCACACGCAAAACATCTCAGAGTGTGCGGCCACACATGTGTACAACTCCCTCCTTACCAGATTCAAGAAGGGACTGTCAAGACAATGACCCAGCTTGAACCCAAACGCTACCACAAAAGAACTATAATCGGCTCATGTAAAGCCAGACCATCTTGAAAGGGGGATACAGAATTACTCCACACCCTTAATAATGAAAGGACGCTAAGAGGGCAGAAGACTACCAGGGCACTTAGATAAAGGTGAAAACGAAGGCTGTCCACATGGCAGTGTAGAGCTTATCGGTGCCTTACACGTGGTACTCGTTTTGTTAACGCAACGTTTTCAGCCAGGTGCCCGGCCAGCCCCATGAGGGGGCAGCTCAGCTGTGACCGTACGTCGTTAGCCAAGCCTTCACCAAAGCAGCTGTCCCACGGACTTCCGTCTGCACGCAGAGGCAAGCATGTTGTCTTTCCAGTGCAAACAATAATAAATAAATAAAACCTCATCCACTGAAGGAGTGTCCAGTCTGCCAGTGCGACTTCACGCTCTCGTGTTCTCAGAGCCATCGCCAGATCTGACTGGAAATCTGGGGTTCGAAGACCCCGGCTCCGCGCTGAGTGTGGGATTCCCAGCCATGGGGACCCAAAGGCCTGGGGCCCTACTTCCCCTTGGCTACTCACTAAATACCTCAGGAACTTTATGAAATGTCTTCATAAACCAACAGGCATGTCCAAGTTTAAGGTGGTATTACTGTACCATCTGTTATTGATGGACCTACGTCCCCACCCGCCACCCCAAATTATTGAAGTCCTAACCCTCATTTGGAAATAGGGTCATTACAGACATAACTAGTTAAGAATGAGGTCATACTGAATTAGGGTGAGGCCTTAATCCCAAATGACTGGTGCCTTTTTTAAGAGGACAGAGACACACACAGAGAGGAGGCCACGTGGGGACAGAGGTGGAGGCAGTGACCAGTGTGTATATAAGCTGAGGAACGCCAGATTGCAGCCCGCCACCGGGAGCTGGGAGAGGGGCATGAAACAGGCGTCCCTGGGTAGCAACTAACCCCCTCACACTGCGGTTCCAGACTCTGGCCCCCAGAACTGCGAGAAAATACATTTCTATTAAGTCACCCATATGGGGGCACTTTGTCACAACAGATCTAGGACGCTAGTATACCAACCTTCAAATCTCAGTATGTATAGAGAACATTCTCAAGCAATGACTGTAGCGGGCCAGCAGGTGGTGTGGTGGTTAAGGACGCAGGACTCCCACATGGCCAACTGAAGTTCGAGTCCCGGACCTGGCAACTTGCTTTCACTTTACTTCTCTCCCTCTCCCTCTCTCTCTCACTCTGTCCCTCTCTGGTCAAAAAAATTAAATAAATAAATAAAGTTAAATAAGATTATTCTTTAAGAAAAACTGACGAGTGGAAATGGATTCCTGCTTGAAGAACAAACCAGATTCCAGCAAGTGGCTCTCAGCCAAGGGTGACTTTGGACCTCTGCTCCCAGAAGACACCTGGCAGTATCTGGAAGATACTTTCTGGTTGTCACCACTGGGGTGGACAGGAGGGGCCAGGGATGCTGGGCAACAGCCTGGAATGTAGTGATCGCTCCCCAACGACAGAGCCACATCTGGCCCAGAGCCAACAGGGCTGCTGGGAATCCCAGCTCTAAGCTCAGAGAACACAGAGAACGCCAGAACGATAGAAAACGAGAAGAGGCAGAGCCCGAAAGTCCTGCACTCCCTACCTCCTTACGTGGATGACTTTATTCGAATTTCTTTGCTCCCTATGTCTGTTTCCTCAGAATTATAGAATGGCGAGGGCTATATCACAGGGACCGAGGACCACGGTAAAGCAGTGAGATTGTCTGTTCCAAGCACTCAGGCTAAGCACTAACCAAACTCCAGCAGCAATGACCAGTTTCGTCTTGCAGCCCAGGCACAGGAAGGCGCTCTCTGAGCCGTGCGGTGAGGGGTGAGGCCGGGTGTGTGGGTGAAGGGGTAGGGGGGCCTGAGGATGGACCCGGGTGGCCAGCCCCATCCCAGGCCGGTCACAGGCGGGGGCGAGCTCCGGCAGCCTCTGCTCCAGCAGAACAGGGCCTGGGGCGGACCAACACAGCTCTCAGCGAGAGAAGGCGGAACCCGCCCGGCTTCATTCAAGGGCTCTCCCTCCTCGCCAAGAGACCCAATCCCAAGACCACTGCGGGGCTGAGCCTGCGGTCCCAGCAGGACCCACCTTCTGGAACACCCAAATCCAGTCTCTCCTCGACACACTCCGCTCCCCCACCCACACCTGGCAGCCTGGCGTGAGCGGGAGCAGCCAGACACTGCGGCCGGCTTCCTGATTCCGCGTCTACATCACACCGAAACGGCAACACGGACCTACTGGGTTACCAGTCGGGGCTCGGGTCACCCCAGGGTGGGCAAGGGGGTGACGGGGCACCCTCATTGTTTCTTGGCCTGGGGGCGGTTACTAGGTCTTTCAGGTTTTACTCGAGGGCAGCCAGTAACCGTGTCCCGACGGTTCAAATGGAACCGTGGTTCTCCCCGCGGCCACTCCCAGACTCCTTTGCGTGTCCGGGTTTGTCTGTTTTCCGCCGCCGGCGGCACGCGGGGCGGAGCCAGCGGGGCTGGGGGCGTGGCTAAGATAAAGGGGCGGGGAAGGGCTAGTCGGGGGTCCCCTCGGAACGGAAGCGCGAGACAGGAAGCACTTCCGGTGCGTGCTGTGAACTACAGCCCCCACAAGGCGCCGCGGTCCCGCGAGCTGCCGTCTCATCGCGAGAAGCAACGGCCGGGGGCGTCTGCGCGACGAACGGAAGGAAGTGTTGGTGACGGTCTGAGCAACCACCGCCAAGCTGGGCACCGGAGAGATGGCCGAGACTGACCCCAAGACCGTGCAGGACCTGACCTCTGTGGTAAGGGACGGCTGCGCGAGCCCGAGGCCGCGGCACCCCCGGCGGCGCCGGCCAGGCCCTGCGGGACCGAGCGCTCCCCTCGCGCGCCTCCGAGGCCCCATTTCTGGAGGTGTCCCCGGCCGCTCCCGGCCCAAGGCCCCACGGCGACCCCGGGTCCCCCCAGCCGCGCCAGCCCCTATTCCCACGCCCTCAGCAACAGCCCAGGGCCCCCGAGTTTGGAATCTCAGCGGGCTCAGAAAAAAAGGGGCTTGAGGCCCGTCCGCCTAAGTCCGCAGACACGGAACCGGAGCGGAAGGAACGAATTCCTTGCTCAGGCCCGAACGGGGCTGGAGCCCCGCGTCCTGGGCTCCTCTGGCCAGGCTCCCGGCCTAGCCCCGTTGAAGGTGCCTCAGGATAACGTGCAGTTCTTTATGTTCGTTTTTCTCAGGTGCAGACTCTCTTGCAACAGATGCAAGATAAATTTCAGACCATGTCCGACCAGATCATTGGAAGAAATATCCTTTTTACTTGTAGTCGGCCCCCAATGAGGTAGCAGCAGGGATACCTGGGGGATATGCAGGCCACCTTCAGCCACTCACTTGCAGAATTTTTGCTGAGCTTGGATGCACTGTTTTCCTAAGGAGGAGTGTGCCGAGAGTAGGGGAACAGCTGAGCTGGGCGCACCGGCTGGAGGGACGTCCAGGCTACCAGCAATAATGGTTAGTACGTGGACTCAGTGGGCCAAGGGCTTTCTGTGTCTCCTTTGATCCTCATGGTTCTAACCTCATGAAAGGTTTATAGTATTATCTTTACTGAAGGAATGAAGAAAGTTGAAAGAACTTGGGCCAGCCCCCTAGTGCAGTGGATAAGCACAGTGCTGTAGGAGCCCAGTCCCACAGGGTCTACCATGGTTCAAGTCCCAGTGCCTCTTACTTGTAAAAAACACAAGTAGGGTGTACCTGCATGCCCTAAATCCCAGTGGGATGGAAAAATGGAGGAAAAAAGATGACCAAATGACCATGCCCCTGCTGGAAAAGTGTGTTCTCTCTCTCCCTCCCCCCCACATGCCCTCTGGCAAATTTTAAAAAATTGTTTTAGAGAAAATTGAAGGAACTTACCAGGATCCATCACTATTTAGGGTCAGGGCTGGAATTTGATCCTGTCCTAGCCTTTGGCATT